TAAATAACTAAAAAGGATAATTTAAGAAATGGTCCATTTAAGTTTAAATATAGAGGGAAAAAGCCTATGGGCCAATAAAAGGTGTAAATAACTAAAAAGAATACTTTAAGAAATAGTCTATTTAGCCTATGAATAATGCATATGTGAATTTGTAAGGAAGCATGGTTTACAAGAAATACACTCCATTTTCTAATTGGTTAAGGGTTTTAGGATATATGGAGTTAAGTATATTTATAATATTAGGCTTAGTGATTTCTTGGGAAGATCAAATTTAAGAGCTTATAAATATGATAATAGAATGAGATTTAAATATTTTATTATTATAAATCTTAATGGGGATAAATAGGGATAAAATAGCCATTAAAAGCTCTTAGTTACCCCTTTTCTAATTAGCTTAAAGGGATATACAAAACTTCTATGGTTGTTCTATAGTAATTTACTATAGAATATAGTTGTAGCGCACGTGGTTTTAACCCTTTATCCTATGGTGATTTACCATAGGATAACACCACAAAGCAGAACTTAAACCCTCTTTATGCCACGTGACACATGCCACATGTTATATGCCACGTGTCCAAAGGACAGTTATGCGGAACCTGAGGTTCAGGGACTTGGGCCACTGAACGAAGGAACAGTGCCAAACTCCCAAGCATAAAGCCAAAGAATGACGGAACCGGTCCATGGAGCAACTCCCGAGCATACAGCCCAAGGAGCGAAGGGACAGGAGCTCGGAGCGACTTGGAACAGTCCTGGAGCAATCAGCATCCCAATGCCAGGACCAGCATGCTAAACGGAGCTAAATGGAGTTTGGCGCTATTTCGACATATCGGTGGCCTAATGTGAGGACATGGGTACTGCACTAGCTAGCATGGAATGGAACTTGGGCTTAGACCCAAACAGAATGCAAAACAAGGACAAGCATGCAAGCAGGAGCTAGACTATGCCTCAAGTTGGTTGGCCATGCCCGACCTACCCACTATCCCTATTATACATTTGGAACCCTCTATAGCGCCCCCCCCGCCCCTTCCCCCCCTTCCCCCCCCTTTTAGGAACACATGCTTTAGGCTTTCACCCCAAGCCTCCCTTAGTATCAGGAGTTAGTCTCTGGGATAAGTTTGAAACTTACTAAATATGGAATGGCACTAGATTGTGTATTTGGACACAGGACGAACACCATTGTGTTTAGGCCGATTTCTACATTCTGTAAATATGCCAAATAAGCAAATCTAGACACTTTCCATAAATAACATTTGGGACTGAATTGAGACTAATGCTAAGGGCATGATAGTGAGGGTGTTTGGCAGACACAGTAAGTTATCATCCAGTGATATTGAGGGACCAATCTCAATACGCGAGGGTTCTTGTCAAGCCAGTGCAAGACAGAGCAAAAGAGAACTAAGAGTCAGGCTAAGTATGCTCAGCTAAAAACACATAGGAGTTCCTACCTTATGTCCATCTGGCTAAGTACAGATGCTAAGCCCAATAAATTAACACTTGAACAAGAGGGGTTGATAAAGGGAACCAGCAATACCGACTTCCTGCCATCGTGGCAGTAAAGTAAGAGTATCCGTAAAGACTGGCTGATAAGTAACTTTCAATACCCGAAGTCACATTCGCAACAATAGTGTACTACATTTGGTATCAAAAAGATAAAATATGTTATAACTCAGTTGTAAACTTAGTCATAAATATTTTAGTCATATTTAGTCATGCTCGTGGAGGTCAGCTCTATGAAGAGAGCTTTTATGAATAGTGCTTTGCTAGTAGTTCCATTATTAGTGGTGAAGTCTATATTTTGCAAAACAAAAGTGACTTGAATAGTATGAAATCAATAAATAAAGTTTTGTAATAAAAATCTTATATATACTACCTCTTAGTATATATGCTGAACTTCATATTAGATTGTTAGCTTCTATGACTTGTGTTTGGAAAAATTATTGAAGGTATGTAATTCAATCCATACTTTATGCTTGCCAAGATTGATAAAGTATTATATATGTTATGTTGAGCTAGAAATGTAGTCATGGTCTGTTATAATTTTTTTTCCTATTTTTCTTGAAGTAAAATTAATATAATTTGATATATTGGTGGAGAATTTAGAATTCAACTAAATACAATTTGAAATGGGGAAAAACTAAAACTATGCTAGATGGAGAATGGCCATGTATAACTTCTCAAGAGCTCTTTTAAAGACTAAAGTCACTATAGGTAGTGTTGTTGTAATATAGTCTTTGAGTTTGTTACATCTGCTAATGCATATTCCTTTGACAAGTCTAAGTGTAATATATATTGTTCATTCAGTTTTATATTAGTATAATGATTCAAGATTGTTGCTATATCACTTATAAGGTAAAATGTTATTCAACTATAGTCAATTAAATATTTTCATCCCATAATCAAGTTTAATTCAAAGCATAATTTTGGATGTTTAAACTAAAACTTTTATCTAATTGGAAAACCACTTTATTTTTAAATTTGAACTATGCTCTTTTATTTCTAATTATGAAGAACAAATTATATTATTTATCCAAAAATAGTGCCAAGTTATTTTCAGAAATTTTCTAAAGTGAACATTTATAAATCAATAATAAATTGTTTGATATAACTATCAATTGATAATGGCTACTGATCAGAAGTTGGCTTAGTGTTAACACTAAGTTTGATTTTCAACTCACTTAAAAAAAAACTCATTTAAACTACTTGGTTCTACTTTTGGTCATCCTATTATTCTTTGAGCTGTTTATTAAATTATATGGCTATTATATTTAGATATCTCTTGATTTGCTTAAAATAAATTCCTCATAATTCATATTATTTTAAAATATGAGTTGATAAAATTAATAATATAGTAAATAATATATAATTTTATTTTCATATGACTCATAAATGCTCGATATTCCATATATAGAATTTTTTCTCATAGAATCAGGATCTTGATTACAGTTTAATCTATATGTACTTTTGTAAGAATTTAGAATATTCTTTAAACATGTATAATATCAATATTCTTTTTCTTATTTAAAACTTATACTATAAATAATAATATCTTATCATTTAGAGTTCTATTTTCTATATCATGTTTTCAAAACTGAAGCTAAATATTTATCTTTCTATTTTATTTATACTATTTATTCATTGTTTTTCAATAGAAATTTTTATTATAAATAGATTAGGCTATTCTATTGATGCATCATGTGAATCAAAAAATGATAAAATAATCCCAATTATTCAGAATGATAGAAATAAATTTTCATTTAAGTTTGGAACATGTTGGGGTTTTTGTCGAACTCAATTTTGGTGTAAATTTGTAATTAATGATGGACCTCTTAAAGGAAATTTAAGGGAATTCTCTGTTTATGTTCAAGGAAGTAATAGTGATTATGAAGAAGCTGAATATATAGAATATTATATATTTGCCTATGCAATTTTTGAAACTCACAAACATTATACATATGATTGGTCTTTACCTAAAAGGAGGTATAAACTTGATTTGTAATTAATATTTTTCTAACTATCATATATCTATATCTATATCTATATCTATATTAAAATATATTAAATACCCAAGGTTATCATAGCCTATACTTTAAATATATACTTCTTAAATTTCTCCATTATCTGTTCCTTTTGTTTGGATCTCATGAGCATTTTGGAATATTTGGTACTCTATGAATGAATCAAACTATTCCATCATGATTATTCTAAACTCCTTTTTGGTCTGGAGAGCACACTTCTTGGGGTACTTGTGAATAGTTTTTGCTGCATATGACACAAGAATTACTAAAGAAGTAAAATAAAAATTAGTTACATTTTACTATATATTTACTTCAAGGTTTTCATGTTCTATAGATATACTAGTTAGTTGTGAGTGACTAAGCAAGTTTCTAATCTTAATAAACTTAATTACATTTAAACTTGCCTCCGTTGGATTAAGCTATTTTATACATAAGACTATAGCTAGCAAAAGTACTTACAGCCAAGTTTTGGTGAACTTAGTTTTTAATTATATATAGTAGCCAAGTTCAAGTTGTTTTTCATTTGGTTTCCTTTTTGATATCTTTTTCTCTCTTTTTGAATCAACTAAGTTATGGAGAACATAGTTACCAATTACATATGGTATGTTCTCTAATCACACAAGAATTATTTTGATATTATTTAGCCAACACAAGCATAAGAAACAATTTAATTAAGCTCATGGTGAACATTTAGAATGAATTTGAAAAGTGATATATTCTTTCAGTGGGATTCAAACATTAGACTTCTAATTAAATTCAATATCTATCAAGATCCGATTTTGGATCTATATTTACATTACAGTTAGATTCTTAACACCTTATAGAACTCTATACAGTGTTCAACACAATCCATCCATTATTTCTTTTCTTTTATCTTTGTTTCTTTAGTCTCTTGCTCCTTGACAACAAGCTCCTAATAGATTTACTTACACTATATGAATATGATCTAAGAATACATTGAGAAGGGATAAATTGTGTTGTTGTTATAGATGCCACATGATAAAATCTAAATATATGGGAAATTTCTTTTATAATTTCTTGTTTTTCTTATAATGCTAGTTAGCATTCCCTTAGCCTTTTCCTTGTTTATAATGTGTGTGTGTGTGTGTGTGTGTGTGTGTGTCTATATATATATATATAGACACACACACACACACATTATAAACAAGGGAATGCTAATTGAAACCAGGTGTCAAAAAAATAATTAAAAAAACATACTATGAAAGGATTTGTATATAATTATTGTATAGATCTCACTGCTCAATTTCTTATGATGTAGTTAGAGGTAGAGGTATCATGGTGCAAAACCCCACAAGCTATCCCCCAAACCTGCACTGGGCTCCAACCAACCATATAAGCATAAGAGTATCACCATGTACCATGATATTTCTTCCTGTTATACTCCCTCTTCAACTCAGTAAGAAGACCCCACTTTGTTTGGCCAATAAAACCACCTCCAGCATCCATAATTTTTTATAAAATACATAGTCAAGATATGTTACTTATATTAATTAATTATGATCTGTAAAAGTAAATACAGTTTAAGAGCATGTAAAACAATCGGCATTTAAAAAGCAAACAAGATATAATGGTGTCACATTTGGCCTAAGGTCTTGATGTTCCACGGCTCGATGTAGTTCCAGTCGCCCTCCCAGAAGTTCTTGGCCAGGATGGAGTATGCAAACTCGGTGGGATGAGTGAAATCCCAGAAGAGATACTGGCTGGGATTATCGCACACCCCTTGCGGGTCATGAGTGGCGAGCCAGCCGCCACACTTTCCACAGCACGCGTGAGCCGTGTCGTAGAGGCCGTAGGCGGAGGCGTTGGACATGATCTCGGTCATGGCGTTGAAGCCTTTAGCGTAGGAGATTCGCACCCCTGGAAGCCTCATCACCAGCTCGCGAACCAGCATCTTGAGCGCCAAGTTGAAAGCGCCCGCGATCTCGTTGAAGAGGTTGAAGCAGGAGCCGTGGAGGATCCGGCGCACCATGGGAGTGCATCCCAGCGGGCCCAAGTTGAAGACCACGATCCGGCGAGCGCCGTTCCGGTAGAGCTGGATCAAGTTCTTGCGGTAGATGCTCATCAGCGTGGACAAGAAGTGTCGCCGGTTGGCCGCTGCCTGGAACAAGTTCGCGAAGATGTCGTTGCTCCCGGCGGTGATCATGAAGAGCGAGTTCCGGAACATGATGGAGGCGTGGTAGTCGCCGTTTTGCTGCCGCACGACGGTCGAGAGGTACTGGAACTGGTCCATCTGTGCGTCGAGCGAGAGGACCCCGAGCGGTGCGTCGGTGGCGTTGAGCAGGCCGCTGCCCGCCGACGCAAAGTTTGCACCGTGGATGAAGCTCGCCCCCGGCTGCATGAAGGGTGGAATGTATGGTAGTCCCAGGAACTCGGCGATGAAGTCCGCTATCAGCCTGCCATCGCTAAACCTTCCTGTTGGCACTCCGAAGGACGTCGTCCCGTAAGGCGTGACGTTGGCCACCGCCAGCGAGCCAGGCAGGAAGTTGTTGTTACCGGTGTCGAAGATTGAGTCGCCAAACAGGAAGAGCATTTGCACTTGACTGGCGGAGGCGAGTGTGAGGACCTGGAGGAAAACCAAAGCTTTCAGGTGAGCCATTTTGGATTGGAAATTGTTAGCGGAGAGAACCTGGTAGCAAATTTATACAGGCCATCTCATCCGCTGCTCCACCATGCTCTTGATTTGCAGCAAGCCACACCAAAAGACCGTCTACGTACTATGTAACAGCATGCAGTCATGCATTCCATCCGCTGTACCTATATTACCGCTTGTTAGTGAAAAAACAAGGATTCTCAATGTAACGACATGCCTGATCAATCTCTTCTCGCCATTTTCAAGACTTGGCCTGCCCTGTCCTCCAGTCTGCTCAAAGCTTGCTGGATATATTCGTTGTGCTCGGCATACATTTGCAGCGCCTCCAAGGCTTCAGCTTGCTCCTGCTCCATTTCCTCTTTATAAGCCTTGAGCTTTATCTCGTAATCCGCGTTTAGTTTCTGGAGCACACACAGCGTGTTTCATTTTTTCAGAAAAAAAAAAAATTGCTCAGTGATAGATAAGAAACTCTCACCTTTAGTAGTGATTCCGCGTCATTATATACCTGTCTTAACGTTGTTTGTTTTTCTGCCAAGCTCTTCTCGAATTGAGCTCTTTGAGCGGCTTTCGAGGCAATGTAGTTATCCAGTCTCTCCTTCCTCCCTTTATATTGTGCCTCAAGCTGCATAACGGGACATCGTTTTAGGAAGAAAATACGATTGCCTCACTCACCTTCTTATTCTGAGTGACGAGTGTGGAAACCTCGTCAGATTTTTCTTGGAAGGAAACCTCATCCGCATACAGTTTCTTCTGCATGACAAGGACTTCTTCCCTCGCATCCCTTGTTGCCTTCTCAATGCTTTCCATGAGACTGGCAACCAGCGGCTTGAACACACCCTTGACGTTAAAACCAAGTATATCTTCGGGTTTCTCCTCCCTCGAGTTAACTTTCATCTCGAGTTGAACTTGCCGAGCTTCCAATTCTGGATACATATTTTTGAGCCTGCCAAAAAAAAAAAAAAAAAAACAAATCACCAAGAGACATAACAAAAAATTTCTTTACCTCGCGCTGCCAGTGTTGTAGGTGATGACGACGTCCTCCACCTCCCTCAGCATGTTCGCAGACTGAACTTCCTTGTCCCATGCTTCCTTTTGCAACTCCTGTGCTGCTTTAGAGACTGCATGCAATCGCGTCTCGAGAATTTGGCTTTCTTTGTCCATCTTCTCGACGCCAGCGACGCTGAGCTGCTGAGCCCCGATCCGTTGCCGCAAAGCCTCGTTCTCCTCCGCTATGTTGGAAGCCTCCGTCTTCAAAGCCAGCAGATCCTCCCTCTTCTCCTCCATTTTCTTGAGCGACGCCTCCTTGTGCGACTGAAAGTTGCTGATGATGGTCGTAAACTTTGCGACGTCGTTTAGAAAGTCCGCCTTCTTCGACTCCAAAACAGCCAAAGGCGATGGCTCACTTGTAAAGGTGTGGAGCTTAGCTTGCAAATCATTCACGGTCTTCTCGAGCTCTTCTGCCTGCTGCACCAGCTGGGCCTTTTCTTCCTCAAACTGGACCCGAAAGTCCGCGTCGAGCTTAGCGCACGCCTCATCGTTGCCGCAAAGAAACTCGTTGTAAGCTTGGCTGAGGTACTCGAAAAAAATCAAATCCCCGCTTCCCTCGTAGCCAAATCCACCACCATTCCCTTCTTTGATCTCCCGAGCCTTCTCCTCGTAAGTCAAGAGATTGACGAGCCAGGCTAGAGCGGCCAGCAATCCAGGCCAAGAATGCGGGCTCCCGGCGGCATAGAGGGCACTCTTGCTGATCTGGAAAGGATAGTTGAGACTCCTGAAGAAGCCCGGGACATCATCTTCGAGCTTGCCAAAGACGATGTGTGGATCCACTTGGCGGAAAAGAAACTCTATGATATCTTTGATCTCCTTACCGGAGGGCAGCTTGGAGGAAATGGGCGAGTTGAATCCATGGGTCGTGAGGTACTCGATGAGCTCCGCCGTGGCCTCTTTCTGGAAGCTCTTGTCGTTGATGTTCCTGGGATCCTGTGCCGACGCACCTTTGGAGGAGGAGAAGGCCATGGATTGGCGGCTCAAGCTGGGGCGGTGATGGCCTCCGGGAGGCATCGGGGGGCCTCCCAAGCTGGGGCGCTTCATGTAGACACCGCTACTCCGCGGCAGCTTGGCTGGGATCGATGACATCCGGCTGTTGGATCCCCTGGAACTCATGGCAAGAGCCACTCCAAGCCCTAGAAGAGCCCTAGCAAAATGGAAAAATCGCGGGAAATTCAAAATAAAATAAAATAATTTCTATAATGTTATTTGCAAATATTTTGGAATAGTTCATTTTCTTAATTTATTAGTAAGTTAAAAAAGTCTTTAGATAATAATTTTATTAAAACTATTGAAACATTATCAATAAAACATTATATATGAGTGCATAGAAGTTCGACTTCATATCTACATTTAAGTTTTCTTAGTTATAATTTTTTCAAGTAATTTACTATTATTTATAACGATTGTGTAAATTTAATTACCAAATATTAAATATAAATATATTCACTGAATGAGGTTTATATTTTAATTTTTTGTGAAATGATGAAAATCAGTATATAATTTAACTTTAAGATTTGTATCTTTAAATAATTAAAAAATAAATATTGGACATTATTTTATTTATAATTTTATTACTATATAAGTATGAACTTAGAAATGGAGAAATTGTAAATAATTTTATGGTGGTAAAAAATACCAAATTTGAATAAGTGAGGTAATAAATTTTATAAAATTTCAACTTATAAATAAATTTTATTATACTTTGGTATATAATTACATTCAATGGTTTTTATTTCCATGATAGAAATAATTTAAAATCTGAAATTTTCATTTAATTAATATTTTAATATTACTACAATCAAACATTTTGCAAATGCTATAATAAAAGTTTTTCACATGTAAGTAATTGAGTCTTAAACTTATTAATTATTATCTATTCTAAAATACAAATTAAAAAATTTTAAAAATTAAGAAACTTAATTGAAAAACCTGATGCAACACATATTTAAGAAACAACAATGCAGTGAGAATAATTTAATAATAGAATATTATTAAATTATTTACTAAATTATTTACTTATCTTTAATATAAATTATGAATTTGATTCCTTTTCTTTACAAGAAAAAAAATTAAAACTATTAAAAATATATAAGTTTAAATAATATTAAACTATTTAATAATAAATATTTTGTTATTTAACTTATTATTGCAAACTAATTTACATTTATGTCTTTTTTTTTAACTATCTTCACATGTATGTACATAAACAAAACTAAAGAATGTTGCCCTCCTTTTACATGTTAGCTAAGACTAATTTATACTAATGTTATGATCATCAACAATGACTTGAGTTGAGGTCTACATAACCTCTCTATACCTCCTTAAGAATTCCATTTCAAGGTCACTAATTAGTTTCCAAATTTAGTGTCATATCTCTAAACTCTAAAACAATATGGCCAATTAAATTTAGTGGTTTGTGGAATAGAAGATGATGTGGTCAGGTTGGATAGTGAACTTAGTGAGATTCATAATAATCTTAGATTTTTGCCAATTCCAAATTGTGATGGAGGTATGTGAACTTGTAATTTAGAATCCTATTTTGTGGCTTTAAGTAGTTTTAAAACTTAGAATATCCAAATTCTTAATATAATCATTCTTCATATCCTCTTATTTCTTCTTGCACATGGAGATAGTTATGGTAAAACTTATGTTCATAATAGCAACTTTGTATCCTCTTGCACTTTTCTATAACATCACCCTTGGATATAGTTATGTTAAAACTTATGCTTGTAATAGTATTGTTGAATCCCCTTGCACTCTTCTATAATATTACCCTTTTGATACTTTTGATTATTTATGTAGTTAAGAGTGATTACCTCCTTTTAAGTGTCTATGGTAAGCAATAATTTATATCCTCCCCTTCCTAACTTTGATTTTTTCCTCTTGAAATACTAATATAGATTTAAGAGTTTCAAAGTTAACATATTGACATGGCTTATAGAAAGAGCCTCTACTATTGAGAAGTTGTTATTGATAATAAAAGAACCAAAGTCAATTGAAATATAAAAGGAAAATAAGTGATGCATAACTACAAACTTCAAACTAAACCTCATATTGCTTATTCAACAAACGTCTTGGTAGTAGTAATAACTTGTTAGGAGTGATTATTGTATAAACTACAAAATACTTACTTCTAAAATTACAATCATAAATTTCAAATATTTATTTATGAGGAGTTTTCCATAACTTTTAATACTTTGAGTTTTCTTATTAAAAATAAAATTTAACTTGACTGCATAAACTCACCATGGCATTGTCAACACTCTAGCTTAAGAAAATATATGAATTCTTAATTGAGAAAAATGCTAAAGAAGAAGAATTTCCTCAAAATTTCAAAAACACAAGAAACTTAAATTTTAACTTGATTTTAAATTTATTGCATTTGGATCCAAAAAGATTATACTAAGCTCAAGCGCACCCATACAAAGTTCAAAGGTGCAACATCAATGGGGTGCAATTACTCATAATTGCGCTTTTAATTTCCTAGGGCCTTATTTTCCTAAAGTTTTATTTTCTTTAAGACACACATTAGTGGAGTTAATGAGCACTACAATTTATCCTTGGAGGGCAAAATTTTTTGGCAATGCTTTACTCTAGTGTTTGGGATCATGCTTTTTGTTTCTTATTTCTTTATTCCCTTTTAGATCTATATTTGTATTAGCTTTTAGAATTTTAGTTATGCTATGTTTATATTTACTCTTTTTTCTTATTTTCATTGCATTCTCTTCCTCTACCATACTATGCCATTATAGATTAAGGAATATGTTACTTGAGGCCATTAATGTTACTTTGTTGAATTAAGTTTTTGGTGTTGTGGGGTGTGATCATATTGGTGATATACCTATCTTTGGTGTGTTGCCATCTCTAAATTCTATAGAATGTAATTATACAATTTGTTTTGTTCTCAATGTTCTATCATTTCTCATTGATGTGAAATATGATTGTGATATTGATTGGTGAGTTATGGATGATTTAATCTGATTTTTAGAGAATGTTTAAAGATTGAATTTATAGGAAGATAATATTTACGAGATCAAATGAATTCTAGATTGTGATAAGGAATTTGATTATCATAAAGATAGCTTTGGAGATGAGTTAGAAATTTTGCAGGGTAGATTTTAATCCTTTAATCTGCCATTTGATCTTTTCTCCTTACCTTTTGCTCTTTCTTAATCTTTTTTTATTTTTTGGCCTGAGCCATATTCTCAAGTTTTTAATGTTTCTTCTTTGTTTGCAATATTTCTTCCCTTAGCACATCATTTCTGATTCTTATAATTCTCATTCTTAATTTTTTGTTGAGTTGGATGTTTTCTATCTTTCTTATACTAATTTAGATGTTAAGTATATACATGAAGCTAAGAACCTTGCTTTTCTTTGGTAGAGTCTTTAATTAATTTTAATATTAAGTATTCTCCTATTCCAAAGGTTGATTCACTTTGGCTAGAGTTTCAAGTTGAGTATGTATTCTTAGTTGTGAGTGCTATTAAGAGCTTTTGTTTTATCATTGTTATTGAAATTATATGTTCTTTTGAGAGTATAAATTTTTCTATTGATTTTTTTATTTCAAATGTTGAATTATGTATTGAGGAGGTTGAGCGGTGGGAACCTTTTGTTTATCTTTTGCTAACCAAAATATTTTATCATAATAAATCCTTTGTTTTTTAAGCTTTGAATATGTTTCTTTTTTTTCTCTCCATTTTTACTTTGACAATTGTTAAAAATTCCTTTTCAAATATTTCTTTATCCACTTGTTCTTCCACAATGTTTCTTCCTCTCTTTTTCTTGTTTTCTTTTTTTTCCCTTGATACTTCAAACTTTTTTTTTTTGGAGGAGGGTGTGGAGGGAATGAATGGAATTCCAATCCCATTAACAGAATAAAGACAAGTAGATACAATAATGAAGCAAGGACAAATAACATAAATTGTGGAGTGAGGACGAGATAAATTAGTCCAAACAAAATATTTAGCTTCAACATAATGAAGTTGAATGGATGTAATAATGGAGTGAGGTTAAATATAGATAATAAAGTGAAGATGAGTGTAACAAGTTTAAATAGAGTTAATGTTTCAGAATTGTATTTCCCTCAAGTAGGGGATAAAGAGGATATGGAAGACGAATGAAATAAATCTAACTTCCTATATGCAGGATTGGATGAAAACGATAATTATGAATCTAAGTTAACATGGGTTTCAAATATTGACCAAAGGAAACATATAAAAGATTTTTGTACTTATGGTCGTGAGTTTGAATTAATGGTGGTTTTGGAAGATCATATAATAGGAAAACTTAGAGATGTAACATGTTGTTTATTGCAATGGTGTTTTATAGATTGCAATAGCTTTTAAAGTCCCTTACTTAGGTTCAAAGTTATAACTTTGTGATTGATTTAATCATTTAACAGTTGTATATGGAGTTGTAATTGGTTCATTAGAATTCTATAATCAATTGATGCTTGTGCCATGGCTATTTTAATCATAGTTGTCAACAATTTAATTAGTGGTTTTATAGGAGTTTTAGATTTTTATGATAGTTTATAATCACCCACCAGAAGCTTTAAATGTTCTATCTAACTTATTGTCATCATAAGAATAGTATAGCTTTTATATATATATTACCTAGCTAGGTACCTAGCTTTTGTATATATATGTATTACCCTAACTAGGTAATACATTAATTATAATACTATAGCATAGTATATAAGAAAGGGTGTAAACCCCAATTAATATACTTATTCCTATATCCAGAGCACTCACAAATATTATAATAATTATTTGTATTTAATCTTCCCACTTAATAAGAGTTTACATTTGCTACAATAACTCAAATATGCTATGAATTTTAAGCATCACCATATTTTATTTAAGCTTATACAAGAATAATCAGAGATTTTTATATTTTAACTTTATGAGTTAAAAAGTAATTAATAATTTTTTAAACAAATATATAATATAATAATAGAAGATAATATATTAAGAGAACACCTTATCAAACATTTATTAATTATAATTTTTTCTTATAACCTTTGAAATTTGTAATAATAATGAAAAAAAATTAAGAACATTTTCACGTCCTAAATTTTAAATACACTATATATTCTGACCAGTTTGAACTACAAATTTTATTCTTTATGAGTAGAAGTTGGCAAGTAGAGAGTATGGAGAAGCTCTTGTAGGATCTAGCTCTAAAGCTAGCTCTGCAACATTTGCCCCAAATTGCTCATTCTTTTTGTGGCTTGAACAGGATCCAAGGAGTGAGGTCCAGTCTATGGTATCTGGATCAAAAGGCATGCTGTAAATTAGATTGTGGGCATCTACCAAGTGGCCTGCCCGTCCCAGAAGGTCAATTACACAAGTGTAGTGCTGCTTTGTTGGCTCCAAGAAAAAATCAGGCAACATCCTCTGGAAGTACCACCATCCTATTTTAACATTGCCTTCATGTCCATATCCATTTAGAATGGAGACAAAGGAGATATCATCTGGCATCAATCCATCCATGATCATCTTTTGAAAGAGCCAAACAATGTATCTTGAAGAGGTATGAGTAGCAGAAGACTTTGATGGTTTTCTTAACCGCTTTAGCTCCTCATAAGAAGAGCAAGCAGAAAGCATAGCATTCCAGGAGATTAGATTTCTGTGAGGCAGCCGATCAAACACAGTTTTCGCATTTACCAAATCACCAGAGTGAGTGTATGCTGCAAGAAGGGAGTTCCAGCATGCAGCATCTCTTAGTGGCATTTCGTGAAAATATTGCTTGGCAAATTCCAACTTTCCACTGTTTCCATATGCAGCAAGCATCACTGATGAGGAAGCTAAGTCTTGATCTGGCACAAAATCTAGCACTGTTCTTGCGTCCTCAAGCAAGCCATGCTGAGAGAAGGCAGTGAGCAAAACGTTCCACGAGACAACATCCCTGTCCGGCATTGAAGCAAAGAACATTGTGGCAAATTTCAGCTGGCTGCCATAACAATAAGCAGCCAGCATCGCATTCCATGAAACCAAGTCTTTGCTTGGAATACTATCAAACAAAGATTTTGCTTTGACGAAGTTTCTCTCTCTCGCGTAGCCACACAAGAGCCCATTAAGAGAGATAATGTCTCGCTCTGGCATGAGACTGAAAATTTGCTCGGCATGTTTCATATGCCCATGTTGGGCATAGGCAGAAAGCATGACATTCCAAGCAACAATGTTCCAATACGGCATTTCCTTGAACATAGAAACCATTTGATCGACCATGCCGCTGCTTGCGTACGCAGCCAGCATGGCTGTAAAAGAAATGGTATCTTTAACAGGCATTGTATCGAAGATCTTCAAAGCGCTGTCAACATGCCCATTTTGGGCATATGCACTTAATATTGCAGTCCATGACACGAGATCCCACTCAGGAGCCATATCAAAAATATCTTTAACTCTTTGAATATTTCCGTATGCACTATAAGATGTTAGCATTGCATTCCAGGAAACCAAATTCTTTTCTTTCATTGATGAAAACAGAGATTCAGTCTCTTCTAAATGCCCATTTTGGGCATAAGCCACAAGCATCGAAGTCCAGGCCACAACATCCCAAGCAGGGATTTTTTCAAATACGATCTTCGCCTCCTCCAAAAGACCATTCTCCGCAAACAAATCCAGCAACGTTGTCCACGACACCAAATTCCTCTTGGGCATCGCATCGAAGATGGCCTTGGCTTCTGCAACGCAGCAGTTTCTGGCATAAGCTCCCAGTAGTAGATTCCACGAGTAGAAATCCTTTCGATCGATGCTGTCAAACACCTGCCTTGAGCACTCCACACTGCCGAATTTCCCATACATCTGGATAAGAAGATTGCACAGAAACACATCCGATCCTAGATCAAGCGACAAGAAAGAGGCGCACCTATGAGAAAATCTTACATCCGAGAGGTTCTTGCTCGATCGTATGACCTCAACACATTGATCTCGAGTGGCTACTAGCATCTTGCAACATTGTTCTAATGGAGCCCTCTTTCAAGAATTCATAAATCAAGCGCGGGAATTTCAAATTAATAGGGTTTATTTTTAGGGTTCTTCGCGAGGTCTTGGAAATGTGAATGAGAAGGAGATGCGCGCTCTGCGCAAGGTCGGGCTGCCAGGTTAGTGCCGCAGTGGGCTTCCGCTTTGCCCAGATTCAAGGGATTTCCGCCCCTTCCCAGCACCAGGACGCTCTCACGATCTATCTCAGTGCTTTGCGAGGCTGTGGCGGAGCCAGGGATTTGGATTCTGGAAGGAAGATCCACGCTGATGCCGTGCAAGCCGGCGATGATTCCAACGTTTTCCTGGCGAACACTTTGATCAGCATGTATGGGAAATGCGGGAGTATGGCCGATGCTTACAGGGTGTTCCAAGGCATGGATCGTCCAGACGTGGTTTCCTGGTCGGCTCTGGTATTGGGTTTTGCCGAGAATGGCGAGGAAGAACAAGCGCTGGATCTTTTCTCGCAAATGGAGGAGTGGACGCCCAACTCTCAGACTTTTGTAGCTGCTGTCAAGGCGTGCTCGAATCTGGCATTCAAAGAATCCGGCAAGCTTGTCACCAGGAGGCCTGTGAAGATCGAGTCGCTGAAAAGAGGCATGGAAGTCCATTCGCGAGCCGCGAGAAGGGGCTACGTCCAAGACGATATCTTTGTAGCTGGAGCGCTGGTGGATTTCTACGCAAACTGTGGAAGCGTGCTGGATTCCAGGATGGTCTTGGATAGAACACGGTGTCACAACGCGGTGCTGTGGAATGCATTGGTTCTCGGGCTGGCGGAGAACGGGGAAGCCGAGCTAGCTCTGGAAGTTTTCTCGGCAATGCCGGGCTCTCTGGTGAACGCTCGAAGTTTTGTTGCTGCGCTCAAAGCCATGAGTTCGATAGCTGCGAAGCAAGTTGGCAAGGAAAAGATGGCGTGCCTAGAGAAGAGTCGGGAACTCCACGCTCGAGCAGCAAAGCTTGGCTACGAGTCGGACATTTATCTCGCAAACACTCTGGTGGATTTGTATGCCAAGTGTGGGAGCACGAGTGATGCTCGGGATGTTTTCGACAGGATGACGAGCCGGAGTGTGGTTTCTTGGGGGGCACTGGTTCTGGGATACGTCGAGACTGGCAACGCGACGCTGGCTCTCAAAACGTTGTCACGCATGCAAGACGAGGGATTTACACCTTCGGCACTAGTTTTCGTGGCAGCGCTCAAGGCCTGCTGTGGAGTAACGTTGGAGCTCGGGAGAACGATCCATGGAAGCATTTGCAAAGGCGGTCTCGAGCAGGACTCGCTCGTCACCACCTCACTCATCGACTTATACAGCAAGTGTGGAAGCATGGACGACGCTCAGCGAGTTTTTGACGGCATCGCGGAGAGAGACTTGGTTTGCTGGAACGCTCTCTCGACGGGATATAGCCGCCAGGGATTCACCACCCAGGTTTTCGAGCTCTTTTCTCAGATGCTGGAAGAAGGCTTGCAACCAAACTCCGTGACTTTCCTCGCTGTTCTTACGGCTTGCAACCATGGTGGGCTCGTCAGCAAAGGAAGGAGATACTTTGACACCATGTCGAGCTCCAGGTTTGGGATTTCTCCCGGGATTGAGCATTACCACTCCGTGATCGATATTCTGGGCCGAGCAAACCTGCTGGAAGAGGCAGTGGCGATGGTGACGTGCATGCCTCACAAGCCCAATGCAGTAACTTGGAGAACAGTGATGAGCGCGTGTCACAAGTGGAAGAACGAGGCAGTGGCAAGGCTTGCGTTTGATGCCATCGTGGAGATAGACGAGAGCGACGCTGCAAGCTACATGCTGATGGCCAATTCGCTCTATGAAAATCGTGACAAAGTTCCACTAGAACGGAGAACCGTGAGTTAGCAGCTTACCGGGGATGGATCATTCATTCGTTTGGATTTGGATGATGGTTTCCAGGTAAGTTTTTCCTCGTTAGAGTTTGCATCTTGTTTCTGCTCACGCTTTTAAACATTCTTTATTGTTTTTCAGGCGATCATGAAAGACGTGTAGCAATTTCGCTGGCGCGCCGGACAGGATATTTTGGAAAGACGCAGTCAACAAGCACAAAGACATGGTACGATAATGGTTTCAAATCGTCCTTTTTATCTGAGGTGCGCACTGCTCGATCAGACATGGGTCCCGAATGGAAGATCTGGTGCTCATACACGCAGTCACAAAAATTGGCTCCAGCGGCGTGTGCTTAGAAATTCCGAGAAGGAGAGGGACCCGTCCGGCAAGAAAATTCTTCTGGAAAGATCAAGGCATGGATTTTGGTGGGATTTTCGCTTTTCATCAGCAGCGGCCGTGGACTTGAAGGAAGATCTTCCACCAGCGGAAAAGAAGGAAAGGAGAAAAATCAACCAATCAATCATCCTGGTGGGTATTTAGCCGAGGAGGTGCGGTGATCGGTGCTCTAAGACAGCCGTAGTCTTGAGAAGCAAGTACACAGGACTGAGGAGAAGAGGACTCTCCTTTTTTATCTTCCGGAAGGAGAAGTAGCTCTTCTTCTTCCTCGTATGGACACAGGGATATGGGATCTGCGGTGATGGTTTCTTCGTGGCTGATTTTTCTGGTTCTAGCTGCTACTTATCACAGCCATGGTGAGTTCCAGCACCTTGGAGGCGACGAGAAACCACACGTCAAGTTTGATGGATCTCCGGTGGCTCCCGAGCTCGATGATTCTTCGTCCAAGAGATCAAATGCAACTAGTCTGGCTTCCAGGGGCAGTGGTGGCGTCAATGTGCTAGCAGCTATGCTCGTCACGGCTTCCTCGGTCATGGTTTTTATGGCGTTTCGTCTCTCGGTATGCCGCCACTGCACTGGCTCGTCGCCAAACTCGAACGATCAGCTGGACAACGCTTTTGAGACTTCGGTAGAGGATGGCCAGGAGGCTGTGGAGACAATGACGACGGATCTACGCGAAGGAAGTGATCGTCGTCTCAAGAAAGAAGATCTCGGTTTGGGACTCGACTCGATCGAGAAGTTTACAGTGCTGATGGACTACCAAAAGTTGATGGCGGAGAGGAAGATGGGCAATGCGGACAAGTGTAGCGTCTGCTTGTGCGAGTTTAAAGCCATCACCGGCGAGGAGGTCCGACTTCTTCCTTGGTGCAACCATTTCTTCCATCCCGACTGCATCGACCTTTGGCTCGTCTCGCACAAGTCGTGTCCGGTTTGTCGGGGGAGTGTGATCCCGCCTGGCAGCAGTTCCACTGGGACGATTCCTTCCAGGAACTTTGGAGTGGAACCGGAATCTCCGACGCTCGAAAATGGTGGTGGACAACACTTGGTGCTTCAAGTTGACAGAAATGTGGCTTGATTTCAAGTCGACATGTGGTTGCTGCCACGGAACAAAGAGGTAAAATGAATATTTCGTGCCTGGAATCTTGACTGACGTTTTTTTTCTCTTCTTTGTTTCTTATCGTCTTTGTTCCTTGGCATGGCAGCTCCCAGTTGTCTTAAAAAGTCCGCATTCCACTCGCGACTCGAGGTATGCTAACAGGTGTACTCTTTCTACTTGTGAAGCAACGCTAAAAATTGCGTTTGCCTCTTCCTTTTTGTAGTGGAGAACCTCGGAAGCTATGATTTCCGATGACTGTTCCAAGAAGAATATGAGTTCCATATCCTCCACTATGAAGCAAATGGAGTACACAAGGATTAGCATAACGGGCACGCCCTATACTTTCGTCGCTTAAAAGCTTGAGGTTCGAGGAGAGTGCCAAAGTGATGAATCTATGAAGAAAGAGGCTAATTGAGCAGCAACCCACACCAATGGCGGCGACCAAATTGTGGCTTCCAGCTCCAGCTCCAGCTTTCGGATTCTTCTACTCATCACTGGTACGTTTTCGTCTTTCTTCTTTGCTGGCAAGGGATGGAGTGGACTTTTTCTGTTTCATCTTTTTCTACTCTTTTCACTGTGTGTTTTAGCGACAGAGAAGAAATGTCTTCATCATGCGAGCAGCCGATGGGAAGGTTCGAAATGCAAAGCTTGCTGCGAAGCGGTGTTTGACGGTCCCGTTTCAAGATTCGTCCAGGCTCAATCAGTTTCTCTCGGAGCCCGCTGGAATGCAAATACTCATCAACACTAATGCTCTACAAAGCTATCAGAAACTCGACGACACCACCTACAGGTTTGCTATCCATATTCATGAATAGCTCTCAAGTTGTTTTTGTTCTTTTTCTTTTCTCGATCAGATGCTGCTTGCCAAAGCTCGACATTCTCAAGTTCGAGGTTGCTCCGATCGTGGATTTGTCCATCGACGTTAAGGACGACGAGTGCTTGGTTAAGCTTCTCTCTTGCAAAGTTGAGGCCAAAGTTTTTTTTCTTTTTTCTTTTCGTTTCTCTTCGCAAGTTTGGGCCTGACATTTGTGAATTTGTTTTGTCTAGTTTGAAGGCTCGGAGCTTGTTGAGAAGCAGAACCAGCATTTCTCAGGTTTGTATGCGTAGCTACTAGCTCCTATGGACTGAAGGAAAGTTTGTCTTTATGTGTGGGTTTTTGCAGCTTCGATGATCAACCATTTAACTTGGGGCTTGGAAAAGCAGCTAAATGTCAACGTAGAGCTTAATGTGTCTCTCGAGGTGCGCTTGATGATATTCTCCATTGATCTAACTCTCTGTGTTTCTTTCAGGTGTATACGCTGCCCTTCACGCTTCTTCCATTGCAAGCCGTGGAAACTCCCGGTAGCATGTAAACTATCCTCTTCTCATGCAAAGATTTCAGACTAAATCTACGTGTTTGTGATTTTTTCCAGAGTTCTTCAGGCTATGGTGGACAGACTTGTTCCCATTTTCCTGGACCAACTTTTCGATGGTTACAGGAAATGGTGCTTGCAAGAGGTTCTCCAGCCCAAGCCAAGGCAATAACAAAGAAAGAATCGTTCCACCAAAACAAAAGAAAAATAAAAGGTGATGCTCTTTGGCGAATGTAGTGATATTCCATTGAGCTCTGCATTTCTCGGGAATCATGTCTTAGATCTGGAGAGAGCAGTGGTGCGAATCTCCAGCCAGGAGAGCTACCCAATTGCGTCCGATTACGCCCCTCTCCTCGACGAGGCCAGGTCCGTTTTCGACAAGACGGAGAGGAATCTCTTCTCGTCTCGCGCTTGCGGTGTACAGGGAGATGCTCCCCAGATCCATCCAGCCGATCGACAGCACCACGTCTGCTCGGCGCTGGGCGGATCACCATGTACTCCATCTCTGGTCAGAAGCTCAAGAGTGCTTTCTTTGCGGGTTGCAAGCGTTACAACATCGGTGGAACTAAAGAGCGAGAGTGCTTGCTTGCTATGCCCGTGCTGGGCATAAAAGAGATCATACGACGACGACGATATCTTTTCGGCGTGCAGCCACTTGGGACACATGAAGCACACTTCCTGTCGAGTGTGCACAACTTTGGCCAGCGGCCAACTTTGTGGTGATCTCCGATATGGGTGCCCTGGAGGCCCCGTGGAGGACGCTGCTTTAGTGCGTGCCCGAATCCCAGCAATCCCCAAAAAGAGCCGCGGATCGCATCAGCCCCAGCATTGGTTTTTCTCTCCAGCATCTTCTCGTACAGGGACTAGTGCAAGACCAAACTCGCAAACTTATAGTCATCAAAGTAAGCAGGGAAATATGCCTGGGTCTGCAATTCATTCGCAAGGGAGCTGATCTTGTTGCTTTCATGGGCCCAGACGTAACGTTCGAAAGTTATAGGTCTCATGCGGTGTGCGAGATCTATAACACCATAGATCGCACACCGGGGACGTGAGATTTTCATAACACTATAGAATCTTGCAAATCAGCATGGTGTATAAGCATCCCTTGTCTGGCTTTGAATGCGAGGCACCAGAGCAAGGGAATGCCTAGCAGCGAATGGAAATTAGAGCATTTGTAGCTGGGTATAAAGCTGGATTGGGCATCAATCGATCTACCTCAAATCATTAGCACTTGCTAATGCAGCCCTCGTTACTCTGATTGTTGGTGTATTTCAGAGATGGAGGCAGTATCTGTACACTTGGAGTTAGACAATTGGGAAGTACTGGTCTTTCTGGACTCCAAGAGAGATATATGAGCCTTTTTATCCATTCTAAGGACTAGGTGTGAGCAAGAAATTCCAAAAGCACTGAAGCTACTCACGGATGAAATATTTCTCAAAGAGCCATGTACAAGATGAATAAGCAAGAATAGGAAACATGCCAATTCCAGGGTTCTGCTCTTAATGTCAGGAAATGGACTATGCAACATTTAAATTACAAACTTAACATACCTGGTGATCATTTAGTTCAGAAAAAACTCTCTCAATTGAAAATATATGCAGTCTATCTGGCAGTGTATATTCTTAGAATATTCATTATTTTCTGAGGAAAAATTTCAATAGTGCATTAAAAAAATATATATTATTGGCCCAACCCTAATTTTGATCAATAATCCAAAAATTATTGAATTCAAAATAGTGCTGTTTTCTTGGCAAACACTATATATGGTAACAATTTTTCAAAGGTCCTAAACACAATTTGAAAGTGCCCTAGTGCTGAAAAACACCATTTGGTAATGAAAAGCAATCAACTTATACACCATTTACAAGCACAATTAAGAGAAGATTCCCTATGGGGTAATTAATCATTCATCTGTACCACAATTCTATTGTGGATTGTAGGCATTTATGGATGAAGAATGCACTTATGGATGTTTAATAAGTATGATTTTAATTTAGATTCATACCATTTGCTCTAATACTATATGTTAATACATTATATCTTTCTCCTATTACGCCAATTGAAAAAGGGGTCATTATTTGATGAAAAAGCTCTTAATGGCTATTTTATCATAATATATTCCTTAAGGTTGTAAAACTTATAATGAGATTATATTTAAATCTCATTTCATAATCATATATGCTACAATTTGCTTATAGTGATTTTCATATTTTTGTGGCAAGAAGCATTATAAATCTCAGTTTATAATATCATGACCAACTTTGGAGAGACTTAGTGTTTAAGCTTGAATAACTCATTTGATTAAATTACATGATCTAATTGGAGCTTAATAGCATATCCTCCAAAAGTATAAATGATAATAATTGAGAATGCTAACATGGTAAATGTTCCTTTAAATAAGGGATTTCCATAAAGGTTTTAGCATAGACTCTATAAACATCATAATCATGCAAAATGAGCAGTATATTACAATGCGATAAAATATGTGGTGTGTATGAGAGAACTCTACCATGGAAGGTTGCTTGACTTAGTTCTGATTTGCAACATCGAGGCCCACGTGGGAAAAAGGAATGGATGATGTGGGGAGACAGTATGAACTAAAAAGAATTCCTAAGTATAAAAGCCTCTCTATGATATTGCTATGATCCCTCATTGTCCTCGTGGCTCTGGCACACCACCTTCTGTAGGATCTCCAGCTCCTAGTAGAGGTTGCTAGTGCTGGCAAATAGTACTCCATCTGCTTCAGCCTTGCTACCAGCTTGAGCATGCCTCACTGCACAGCCAGATCATCTCCTCGTTGCTCAGGGATAAAGATCTTTGCCTTGGTCACCACTACCGCGCTGCTTTTGATTTTTTATGCTATTGAGGCTACTTCCCAATCCTATCCCAAACAGCAATATAGTGATGATGCCTTGAATCATCCTCATTTTAGGCACACAGCTAGGGCTTTGCATTGAGCAGACAAAGAACATGTTTTCATACTTACAGATTTCTTTGGCTTGGCCATGCTGTTCATCAATTCCTTTTTGCCACATGAGCCTCTATGTTGCAAATCAGAACGAGTTTTAACATGAGGCATTATTGTGCTTGGTTGAGCACTCCATCTGCACAAGTATTAATAGGAGTAATGTGTTCCTGCTCCCTTTTCTGGTTTGTCCTTGGATATCCATAAGTATGAAATGGATTTGGATTTAGCTCTCTCGTGCAGCCTGCACATATTCCTAACTGAGCTCTTCTGAGTTTCATACATGCCACACATCTTTGTTTTGCCTTAAGGCTCACATATCTCAGTGGCCACACCAGCTTGACCATCTGGAGGGAATGACAAATTTTGATTTAACAATTAACTGTTGTGAAAGCAAGAGTTATCCAGAAAGACAATTACTTCTTAGTTCTCTAACTCCATCTGTATGGGTGCTGGAAGTGCCCTCTAAGGCTGCATTAGCAACTGCATTAATGGTTTGAGCTAGATCAATGATCATCACTCCTTCCTGCTTGTAAAGATTCATGAAGTAATTTCTTCTTCTTACTCTGACAGACGGTTTAGGAGCAGACAATGTTGGATATGCATTGGTTTGATATAGATCACTGTCCACCACCTTAAAATACTGATGAACAAATTTGTGATTTGGTGAAGCAAACAAAATCTCCCTGAAGCAAAGCTGCCTGCCTCACCCACATGGAAGCCAAATTCAGCTTTATACTCTGCTGTAAATGCTTTATTTCCACTTGCCCCTAGGTATTCCCTTCCCCTGACGCATTGCATTCAAAGCCAGAGGAGACAGAAAGGATATGTGATTTCATACCACAAAGAGACATTGTTTCCTGGGAAGCTTGATGGTTATATACACCATAGAAATTTGTATAAAGCCCAAGAACTTGAAGATTTTATGCAGACAGAATTTCTACACATGTGTGGACTTCAATGCCTGTAGCATATGCGGCATCTGGAGTTTTTGCTCGCACACCAGTCTCTTAGGACACAAGACCTTATGACCACCATAACTTTCAAAAATTATGTCTGGACCCATGAACTCTCTTGAATTCATGCAGTGCACTAAATCCATCATGCGAGGTTATTGTGCTTGGTTGAGTTTAACAACCAAAGCCACAAGCCTGTGAGAACTTGTATTGCTCCTCTCTCCAATTAGTTCTCTCCTCTACTCTGTTTTTTGGTGAAGTGGCTTTTGATTTGTCTTTGGGACATGGGGCTATGCAATTTAAGGGTTCTTTTATCCAGTTTTATGGCAATCTCCATGGCAGTGACAGATCTTTGAGTCAAGATGACAATTAACTTCTGTGTGGACAATGTGAATTTATCCAGAAAGACACTGGAAGTTGTATAACTCCACGTGCTGGTAGTACTAGCAGAATCTGAAATCCTATTGGTCAGGCTGTTTAATTGTCGATTTAATCTCACAGGCGGTCGTCGCGGACGGCTCTGAAACTAGTGATCAGAGCGAGCCAGGAAGAAAGTATCCCCTGGTTCGTCATCAGTATAGGAAGCAAAAGAAATCTGTTCCCTTAGTTAGCTACTGCTCCTGTACTTGTACTGCTCGATCATGCCTCGCGTCAATCCTGTTAGATCGTCCAGGGTAGCACCTGCATGCATCTGGCATTGACGCGCCGCCGCAACCCAATCGCCGCCGCCCGTCGGCCCATATGCATCGCATCAAGTCGAATGAGTTGCTGGAGGTACTTGCAAAGGGATTCCGGATTGATCCAGATTCTTTGATCTGCGACGCGCCCACGGCCCCGGATCAATCGCACTATCAAGAACGTGCGACGCGGGCCTTCGGCACGCAAGGGCAAATCTTCAGCTTCTCCATGGACGGCACCCAAGCTGATCCCGCGCCCATGGATTGAGTTGACCATCCAGAGCTACCCGCAGCAGCTGATGATCCGGCCGCATTGACATTGCCCCCGATAGCTTCAGCAGCGTCGTGGGCGCTAAGAACAAAGCGACGTCGTCTGGCACCGCCATCACCAGCGATGGCAGCGCAAAGCCCTGAATTTACAGATGCGTCTTCACCATCGGCTTGTATCCAAGAATCAAGATGAGGAACCGAGGAGCTCGGGCTCTTCAAGCGATGGTGAGCGATGGTGATCATCCAATGATCGCCGTGGAGACCACTCGGTCTAAGACGAAGCGACCTCCAAGTGGCAGATCGAGCTCCAACATCATCAAAAGTTCTAGTTGTCCAGGCAAGAAGAAACGAGCAGGAAGAGGAAGCCAGATACACTAAAAAGACACGTTGG